ACACTTTCACCTTAGTTCGGACACCCACGTTTTAAAGTCTCAAAGAGGCTTGAAACTCTTCATTTTGACGTGAAGGAATGATAACCCGCTCCCAAAGTATTGGATCTTTCTTCTATTTTCTAGTATAGGATGATCGTGAGTGAATGAGTGATTGACTTTAATTCTAACCATGTTTTAGATTGAAAGTTCGAACTTGGTAGGTATAAACGAATGTGTCTCTCAAATACAAGTACCTGAAATCCGCATCATCAGAGCTTACTCCATACTCCATACTAGGGCATACTCCATAAAGGAGTATGCCCAAAATAAGGTTATTTTGGCCCTTTAATAGAATTAAATGAGCCATATATCATTTGAAAGGGTGTCCTTTGCAGAGTAATAAGATACCACTTTTACTTAAATCTGAAAGGTTTGGAAAAGTTAGGTTAGGTTATGTTAGGTTAGGGTAGGTTACGATCAAGTTGTTTAGCATGAGAACCATAATTTCAAGAGTTTTGAGAGGAGGGAACTGCAGACTACCAAGAAAAAACCAATATAAATCCAAGTGAATTGTATTTTGTAAAATCTTGCAGTGCATCATCAGCTTTTATATCATAAATCATACAAACAAGCTTTCTTGCTAGGTTTTCCAATTTCCAGCAGAAGCTCACCGTTTACTTCCAAAATGATGTTCCTTCTAAGTATTGATAGAATGCGGAAGGCATTTATTGAATGTCCCAATTGAAAACAGCAATATCATTTCACCTAACCTGACCTAATCTAACCTAACCTAACCTACCTTTTTGAAACCCTGCACATTTCTTGTTCACAAGTGAAACCGATCGCATACATATTAATTTAATCAAAATCGGCATGAGGCCAAAAATAGGCTAACCTCAACCTAACTTTTTCAAATTGCTTAATTTGAAAAAGAATTGCATTTTTAGGTTTGCCTAAGGACGCCTTCTTGAAATATGCATATTTATTGGAAAATGGTTTAAGGGCCGAAATTGGGCATACTCCTTTCTTTGCTCCAATGAAATGGAAAGACAGAAGCTGAAACTTGGTGCATCGGTACCAATTGAGGTGCAGATTTCATGGGGAAAAAGCTACTTTTATGGTTCGTTCCCTGGGGCATATTTTTGGGGTGGACCTTTCCCAAAAAATTATTTCGTTCCAGGGAATCATAAAGACGAAAGGCTGAAACTTTACTCAATTAGGTACATTCTGGTATGCAGTCATAAGGGGAAATCCTGCTTGTGGGAGATATCTTCTGGAAGTACATTTTGGGGGAATCACATTTTAAAATGTTTTGCTACATTGAATCGGGTAGTGAAGGATATAGAAACATGGAGTTTCGTACGTAGGTTGTCCTCCAGTCGCTAATTTCTGGAAAAATCCTACTCTTGCGGATAACCCCTTTGGTGCACATTATTCATTAGAGTCAAGTTGTCAGAAATAATTTTTAAGCATAACGGACTGGCACAATTTGTTATATTCAGTAGTCAAGTATTTCTTTGCATGCTTAATTCAGAAAATATCCAACTTGAGGGACACATCCCGCTCCGAATTTGGAGGTACAACTCTTGGAAGAAAATGTATCCAGCAGACGTGCTCATCGTAAGCAATGTTGGTCTTCCGCAAGGACATCTCACCCGAACTAAAGCCCTGATGGCCTTTTCAACACCCTCGGATCGATAATCCCTTGCATTCCAACTTCCTACCACTTCTTTGGAGGCACGCCGCACACTTGGGTGTGCGAATAAATATATGCAGCTGTATCTTTTCATGCGCTCGACGGTGTCCGAAGTAACATGTCCTGTTATGAAAGCTCGGACACAGCTCAAAAATACATGTTCTCTGAAAAGTATGACTCAACTGAGCTTTTGTCAACTCTAAACGTACTTCATCTCAAGAGGACGTCATATTTCCGCAGATAAGACACACATGAATGTATGTCCTAACTTAAGTTTCTCAAACATTTCTTGACCTAAGTTCGAACACACCGAAAGCAGACAATAATCTATCAATGCACGTGCATTCTGCGTATTAGGACTCCATGTCCTCCTAGTTCCTGGGAAGTAAGAATTGAACACAGAAAGCACAAAAGTCGCGAGTGAAACGTTTTAAATGTAAGGTTCTCTCCTTACAGTCTCTTGAAAATTTCCTCCTGTTCGCGATATAGCATTAGCTTAAGCCCAATATCTTGGAATCGGGCAAAGTCATGATGACCACCGCTTTTCCTTGGCTCAGTAATGTGTTCATCTCATGTTAGGAAAAACCATTTCTGAAGGCGGCCCCGCGAATGCTTAGTTTTGTAATAATATCTGCAGCAGTGTCCGAACTTCGGTGGTTTTACCCCTACCTACCTTCTTTTGTGAAGTAAAGTAGTATCCTCAATCAAACTTAGACTCTGCTGCATGGAAGAACAGGACTGAATTGGTATACAATTTAATTAATACAATTTAAATGATGAGGAGACTGGAGTGGTCATAGACCTGTAGGTTGTACTGTACGGTATATTCAACACTATAAAAAAAAGGTCCATCGAAAAGATGAGGGAAGAAGTTTCCAAGAACCTCGGCATAGTAGGCCTAGTATAGTATAGAACCTAGGGATAGTAGTCTTCAAGGAAATGGTATTGTAGTACCTCAAGGAATAAGAAAAAAGGGGAGAGAGAGAGAGAAGAGGGGGGGGGGTAGTGGGATGGGGAAAGGAAATCAGGAACCAAACACGAAATGGATGAAAACAGAACAAGGGTTGATGCCATCGAGAGAGAGGGTACCAAGACAAAATTTTAGACGACTTTCTAAAGAACGGCGAGATTCCTGAGAGGGGTGAGAATGATGGAAACCCTGCACTCAGATACTGACAAAGTGATTTTGAAAATTTATAGTGTGGGCCCAGAATCCACTAAGAGGAACTTCTTTGAACGTTTCGGTGCATCATGGGAAAATCCAAATCACGTCCTTGACTAACGTTCTTAGACACTAAATTTGGGACAGTTGAACAGTCAAGAGAACGAAGACGTTTGCTGCACGTTGGCCGTACCTGAAACAGGACTTGCGTTGAACATTCCTTAAACGTTCCGGTACTACTTGGGTGAGATAAAAGAAAACACTGTCTATATCAAGTATCACACACTGCATTTATTCGATTGTCGACTAATGCAGAATATCCTAACGATTCCCATATGGGCATAGTAACTGGTATTGCAAAGCGAAATCATTGATAGAGGGATTACTAAGGGCTTCACGTGCAGATCGATGAAGGGAAACGTCATTCCAACAATGCCAATAAATTGCAGAATTCGTATTGGGAAATATCTTCCTTGCATACATATAGGGAAGTCCTGTGAAATCACGATGGAATCTCATCTCAATACTGTACCGTACACAACATACTTATTTCTTGCTGATTTTGATTATATGAAAATGGCTCTCATATTCATGCTGCCTCCTCAAATAGCAGCAAGATGAGTTGTCCTGGACATGAACATATCTATGGTGATACTGTACTTCATTTGAGTACAGAATCCCAGACAAAGGAAATTGAAATTTCAGTTCAACAAGGTTCTACCTGACATACAAAGGGCTGTGGCACTTAAATATGAGGCACTTTCATGTGATGAGCTGATTTTGCACAAAGCCCTCTAGAACACACTGAAACTGAACAAAGAAATCCTAACATCTCATAAATCCTATGTGAAGCAATGAACAGCATTTTTCAGTTGCGAAGACCAGTATTTCTTTTAAACAGAATCTTGTTGAACTGAAGAGACAACATATTGAAGAAACCAGAGATATCATGGCAGCTTTCAAGCGCCATCTCCAAAATAATAACGATAAACTTCATCAAGAACATCTTTCCACTTCAGAGCAAAACCTTCAGTGTCCTCCAAATAATATGTGCGATTAGGAGTGTGAATAAAAAAAATCTTGAAGGTCTTGATTTCAGTTCTAAGTTTTGAACTCCAAGGAACTTGACCTTTCAGCACCATGTTATTTGGATCAACATAGAAAAGATGAGGTCCTGTTGTTAGCAGGAACATCCGCCGTCTTGGGAAAAGTCCCTTCCGCTTCTCTAAGAAGCCTTGTTTCAAGATCAGATTCCCATCAACAAACCGATGCCAGGAATTATTAGCTGCTTGCTGCACAAGGCGTTCCTGTCGTTCTTCCATTGTGAAATCCATTATGCCTTTTTTCAAGGATTTTGTTGCTGATGGTGTGGGACTTGGCTGCTTCTTACCATTGCTGAATCCTGCTGAACCAACTCTAAGAAGCATCTCACGCTTAGTGTCTAGTCCTGTCTGCAGATGCTCATCATCCCCTTCATCCTCCTGTAACATTGAACTTCGCATATCTTCACTAGTGGTCCCAGGCATGTGAGGCAAGATCTTTGGAGGGGTCTGACAATATAAGGTGTCAAAATCCACTCCATTAAAGAAGGGGTGATTCTTGATGGAGGTGTAAGTATCACCAGCCTGTGAGGCACCCAGTCTTTCAGTGGGTTCCAACTTCAGCAGCTGTTGTACAAGATCTTGGGCATTTGGCAGAAACCCTTCTGGGAACTGGTATTCCAAAGCAAGCACCTTCTTGAAGATGATGTAGTCATTTGGGCCTCGAAAGGGGGGAAGTCCTGAGACAAACTGGTACAAAATGCATCCAAATGCCCACAAGTCAGCAGGAGGGCCAACAATGCGCCCTCTCCGAAGGTCATCTGAAAGAACTTCTGGTGAGACATACTGGGCAGTGCCAACAAAGCTTGCTCTTCGACCTGGTGGATTTGAGGATCCTGAGTCAGATAGAGAGGATGAGGAAGATGATGGAGATGGAGGCACTACATGATCCATCAGCTTGCATGAGCCAAAATCACTAATTAGAATGTGCATGGTTTCACTCAAGAGAATGTTCTCTGGTTTCAAGTCTCGATGGACAATGCCCAGAGAATGCATATGTTCAATAGCTTGAAGCAATTCACCGGCATAAAATTTTGAACACTCTTCATCCAAGGTCTCTACCCTGCGAATATATTGAAGAACATCCCCTCGTGCAGCATAGGACATTTCAAAGTAAAGCTTCTCTGCATCATGGAAAGTGCTGTACAGTTTCACAAAGAAGGGCACAGAGTCCTTCCTTTTTGTATTCAGTAGGTTCATGACTTCTTTTTCCCTAAGAACATAATCCTTCTTTCTTTCACGCAGAATGTGTCGCTTTTCACATACTTTGATGGCCACTTGTCGGCCAGTCTTTAACTCTTTGGCGAGATAAACAGTGGAGAAGCTTCCCTCTCCAATAATTTCCTTGAAGATGAAATCTTCTGGAGATTTCTTAGTCACTGGAGGAGGGGCAGTGTCTGGCTGCTCAGTGGGCACACTCATTCTTGAGGTAGCACTCATGAACTGTTTCACAGGAGTTGCAAGAGCTTCTGGACCTCCCACTGCTTGCTTAGGAAGCTGAGAACACAATTGCTGAACTGCTGGCATTCTATCATTGCAACTCTTCAGAATTTATTCTGGAACCATTTGTCTGAAAAAATAATCCCAGATGAGTTATCAGGATTACAAATCCATTCAAAGGTGAAAATGTCAAAACAAAGTAGAGCACATTCTTTCATTCATTCTCTCTCACTCTAAACCTTATCCAATTCAAAATCATTTATGACAATCATAAGGATAGCTTTAACAGATAGAATAACCCTATCCTTTTCAATGCATAGAAAGCAAAGTAAAAGCCAGCGGTTCCTCTTGTCCCTTTTGAATATCACCTTTGAAAAAGGAACTGTAAAAACTGAAACACAGGGAAAGCATAGGATGGTCAAATGAGGATTCAAATGGCATTCCTACATACTCTTCCAGGAGGTGGTCATCATCACCACATCATCAACTACCACTATTGTATTTCTAAAGGAGAGATTTACTATAAAATTTTTTGTGTGATCCTTAAAAATCCCACAGATGGAAACACTTCACTGTTGTGGGATGAATATCTGCTAAGAAGGCTATGGAAGTCAGCTGCCTTCATCTGAGTGGATGACCAACCACTGTCCACTCCTTTGGCAGGGAGAGTTTTTTGTCTTTTCAGGCCCTCCCACACTTAGCTGGTGGAGATTATGGGCAGCCAAGTGCTTACACTTGCCATTCTGTCTTCCTTCCTTAAATGACTCAGTTTATTTTATTTCCAATAAGATTTTTTTACTTTTTCTTTCAAGAATGTTTCAAATTTTTTTTTCTAGTATATGTAACTTTCCATTTTCCCTTCTTCATATTTTCAATTAGTGAATTCATTGCATGAATAAAGTTTAAAACATTGAGGACAATGTTACAGACAACATTCCCACATCTGCAAAGGTGGACAAGACAAAATACATGTATTGTAGAAAAGCTCCTTACTAACCAAATGACCAACTAACCTGAGAACAAGGTTTTTAAGAACACAGGATACAAGGTTTGGCTCATCATCTTATCATACCAAGCAATCTTGCATGAATAACCTGACAGCTCACCTCTACAGGTTATGAATCTATTTCACAACAAAAAATGTGACTTCCTACAGTTCTACAACAACACATTTATCATGATGTATAAAGCTGATATATCATGAAAATATACAAAGTTCTTTAACTTAAAATGTTACAAGTCACAGGCATGAAGTTCTTTGGCAAGTTCAAACATCTAGTGATTTTTATGACTGGTTGCCATATTCACTAAACATTCAGGAAGTTAATACAAGTATACTTCTATGACATAGTACACCTCAGAAGAAAACTTGTCAGTTATGCATTCACACTTTGCTCCCTGTTAAGTGCCCCTTACCCTGTGGCAAATGAAATGGGGCACCTCAGAGGGGACAAAAGGAAGCTGTCATTAAGGAAGAAAAGAAATAGGAAATAAAATAGTAAACTAAATAGTGTTGGCCTTTCCTCACATAGCAATTCCTCAGAAATGCGGAAGATGAAGCAACAAGGGCACAAAAGTCAGACTTTTAACTTTAACTGGAGTCCCTTAATTCCTTTGTGGTGCAAGTAAGTTCATCAACATGTTATGGCATATTTTGTAACAATCTTGAAGTCTTTTAACAAATGTCTAATTGCAGCTGGGGGGGGGGGGGGGGGGGGGGGGGGGGGGGGCTGTGCTGATATCACTGATGAATGGGAATTGTGCGAAGACAGGCTGACAGAATCTAAGTGCTCCAGGAAAGCAACCTCTGCCTTCACGAAAACTTTCACAGAGGGAAAACGCCACTAAGATCGTCAGAAGGGAAGACAGCCGAGTCTGAAGAAAGCATCGTTCTCCGGATTAGTTGAAGAACGCATGTCCTCCATGACGTCAAGGGTGGGGAAGGAGAGAAAAACAAGATCAGCTATTCCAGGAAACTCTCATCAAAACCATCAGTACAATCTTTCGTAATAAACCAAGTTAATCTAGTTTCCATCGCGAGGAAAGAAGAACGCTACTCCTGTCTCATCAATTGAGCTTATAATGAATTCCATCGAGTTACCTGTATATGGCTTTCGGCAAAATCACACCGGCATCGATTGCATTTGAAAGATGTAACTCCAGTACCTCAAATCGGACGTATTTCCAACTCCCGGTGCCTGAAGCGGCAACGGCTAGACGGTATCTGAAGGTACTTCTGTCCTTGCGAGAAATACAAAGACCCAAAAAGTAAAAGTATTTGCTTAGTCGCTTGTGATGACCCAGAACCATTGTAAGTCAATAGTGCGGGATGATAGGTGAATGACACCAAACAACATGCATCAGATAAATAATACACGAGTTGAGATCAAAAAGTTCCGAGACTGAATTTTAATGACGCTGTGGTGACTCTTTCCTACTACTGATGGTTATATCCTTCAAACTAGTTCTCTTCGGCATCAACACAAATTTTCCGGTTCCTTTAGTCGCTGGAACCATTGCTGACACTTTTGGAATCACCAGCAGTGCTCGCGTCACGTTTAAAATTCTGCTTTGAATGTCTGAAATCTCCTTCATTTCAGCACACTCTTTAGCTTAGAGAACAAAAAGAAATTACTAGTAGCTACACTGTTTTCGGATTGAATTGGTACCCCCCTACTGTGGAGAACGGAGAAAACACAAGCTTTCCAGACGATCCTCTAGATGTCAAGTCTGATGCTCCACATGGTTGTTGGATGGTTCTATTTATACTTCACCTTCCATCCACAAGGTGTCCTGCCTGTAGTTGATGGAAGCGCTCCTAGGGGGGGTACCAATTCAATCCCAAAACAGTGTAAGTCCGGCGAGTTGGATGGTTGCACAGGGGTTGCGAGATTTGGTCGGAAACTCCTGCAACTGCAAAAGTAAGGACATTTAAATCAGTGTTACGAACGCGCCACGAGCGCTGCTGGTGATTCCAAAAGACGAGTGTCAGCAATGATTCCAGCGGCTAAAGAAACACCGAACAATTTGGTTTTTTTTTTATCACACCTCATATATAGGATGTTGAACACTCCATAACCCTCCGACCTCGACTCCTAGTGATCACTCACGCCCCTCGCGATCACATAAGAACGGTGGGACTTCTGAGAGACAATGCCAGAAGTCACGTTCTTTCCATAACTCACGCGAGAAAAAATTTCACGATATGTATGAAGGCGAGAGTTCGAACGGGATCAAGGACACAGACGCCAACACTCTAATTGAAGCTCAGAGGGAGCTGCTTTCCACGTCTCTCAGTTTCTCTCTCTCTCTGCTCATGAATGTATTCTGATGTCATGAAGTCCACGGAGCCCCTTCCCTTTCGGGAATTTACTTCCTCCCCTTCCCGCCTCCTTCCATCGAAAGCAGCTTTTTTTCGGGCAAGATCAACCTTTACCTCTTGAATGGCACTCAAATCTCGAAATCGCCCCACTTGCTTCGAATATGCAGTTTTTCCTTACGTTACTAGGGAATATATCAGGACGCCTGTGAAATTCAATGTCCGGCTGGAAAGTAAGGAGGCTGCTCAAATTCATTTTTTAAAATCCCAAATGCGACTTCTCAAATTATTACTTTACTTAAACTAAAATTCGTAAGGTGCATTTAGGAAGCCAGATTTTGCTGCATTCCAGAGCCGCACTGTGCATTGGTTCAAAAGCTGCTCTCCTGGGCTTGAAAAATTATTCCATGTTCACCATACTCACCGGTGTTCCCTTGAATTTTTTTGTTCATTCCCTCGGAAGAACCACTGCATGACAAACGTTTTCATGATGAAGATTAGAAGAACGCATTAATTAAGCAGAGCCTGAAGGATCTAGCCAAAAGTGGAATCGATGATGGGATCATGAAACTATCAAAACAATGAGATAAAAACTGCATAACACAGCTGAGGGTGGTTACATTGAGTACCAAGTGTCAATATAACAATACTTTTTTCAGGTTTTTCAGTTTCGTATGCGTTTCCTTTTAGAATTTAAGAAACAACACATATTATTGATAGATAGCCCACGTTCATGAGACATTGTCATGACCAATTCTGCTGATTAGCATTGACATGTGGAAGTGTTAAGTAAGCGGTTTAAGTGACCCAGGGCTCTTTTCCACCTAATATGAAAAATGGTGCAACATATGCGGTAACGCGCCAGGCTCACATGATCATGAAAAACTGAATTTAAAAAAGCCTTGGCTGACACATCATGTCGTTGTACTGGTGAGTAAACAAAGCAAACAGGATCGTGAATCCCTCACCTTCACCGGAGAACTTCCTCACATGAGATGAAGACATGGGACACATCCAACTCATGTAGGAACTTATCTGATTCACTTCCTTGGATAAATGAGACATCATTAATCTCATCTGGAATATCTATCCGAGGGGAAGTACGTAGAAACTTGGGAAATTTGGCCACAACTATTCTAAAAAATACAGGGTGATTATAAAAACTCTTATCTATTTTTATATATCGTCATACATAAAAATAGATTCGAGATTTTATAATCACCCTTTAGTTTCATGCAGCCATGGAAGAGATGTCACTATTCGCAAAACATGCTGCATTAATTTACCTGTGTAACAAAGGATCTTTCGTGCATAAAATATGCCATTTCCCGCAGTCACAACGAATGTTGCATGTCAGTGCTATAAAGAGCCGCTCTGCCGCATATAATTAAGCATTTGCCATCGTCGGGCATCAGTGTCGCACTGCCTTATTCAATTGGATTTAGAGCCAACCACAACATGTTTATGACGGAAGACTCTTATCCCTAATTATGTTATCAACAAGATACACGATGTTTTCCGTGCTATTGCTGCGATAAGGCAAATACGTCGATAAACTCGATTTATGGTGAAGGGCTGGGCGGTGTTCCCTCCGTTCCAAGTGTGAATTTTCAGCCTTGCACCCCAATCCATCCGTAAGATTACAATCAGTAGGCGCTATTTTCCTTCAGTTCACATGGCAGCTTCCAGCAAGATCTCATAAATGTCGCGGATGCGTGACAGGAATTCTCCCTGATGAAATATTCCGTTTTGGTGATGATATCGTTGGGCTGTGCCAGACATCATCAAAATATTACTTTTCCCTATCTGGCCCCTCCGCCAAGATTTTACTTGCTAAAGGAATCGCTAATATCCTTGCTGAGCTCTGCTAACCAAGGGCAGACGGAACGAGGAAAAAAAAAAGTTTCAGACCTCGCCCTTCCCAGAGGAAACGCGCTGGGAATGGTGAATAGGAAATGTCAGCCGAGAGTGGAATTCCAACGAGGAGTAAGAGGATGCAGCACGGATCAGGATGAAAGGGAGACTGAACAGGCATATCCAGGTTATACTCGCGCAAGGCAGATTACTCAGCGTTACCCCATGGTCCCCGTTTCCAATTACGTAAGAATCCCCGGGGAGCAGTTTCCTATCACAGCGATGCGAGATGAGAAAATCAACAGGAAACAGACCAGCCTTTCCTTTATTCTCGAGCCTTGGATTAATTCGATATCTTCAACCTATTCATTTCCCTAAAGCTTGCGCCTGATGAAGGCACCTTCAAATTTACATATCCGTATATTCCGCCATCGAGAATGAGCATATAAAAAAAAAGGGGGGGGGGGGGGAAGGCTATGATGGTGGTTGATCTTACCGTGGACAAACCCAAGAAGTATTGCCAAGTTTTGAAGAGGGGGTTAAAAATCTCATACGGTGCTACGGGCTGATTTCTCCCCTTTCCCCAAAACGGTTCCGCGTTCTCCGGAAAGTGACGTCAGTGGCAGTGACACACACTGAAGAATGAAGAATACACAGACACTGAAGATTGTGGGACCCCATGCGTGTCACATTTCAGGCCTCCACATACGGGGAAATTGACGTCAGTGGCACCACTGACGCCATATTCAGGGAAAAAGTGAAAAACGGGTGTCTGATAACAGGAACCCACATAACAGGCAGCAGACTTCCTCGAACCCGTACCACACCTTTCCAGGATGATAAAGGAAATAAAAGGGGCTCTACTCTTCCTTGCACGAATCCGAGGCCAGAACTAGCTACGTCTTATCGAAAATAATTCGTTCACGGAACTCGTCCAGTATCACATTCCTGGCTTCTTGACATTCTTGGTGTATAATAACCTGAACAGAACGAAACAAGGATAAGAAGGAAAACCGTCCATGATTTCATGTCCAAATCAAAGCAAGACGAGCACGAGGTCGCGCTAATACCTGAAACTAGAGAGCAGGCACTAAAACTAAAAAAAACCCTCACAAAAGACAGGAAAAGCCCACACGTTAAACAAACAGAAAGCTTACAAGTAACACGGGAATGCAACTATGCTCGTCCCCCCTTGTTTCAGAGGTCGGGGGAGAACGTCAGGAGATATTTTATCACCCCCCACGACTATTGTCTTTATATAAACAATACAACTTACCCTACAGGCTGCAAATACCTGTAGAACGCCAAACAAAAGTGGACAATAAAAATGAGGTCACATGAGCGAAGGCAGCCGAAGCCTTTGTTGCAATTTCCATTTCTCCCTCTTCCCTAGTCCTCGAGGCCGGGAGAGGAGGAGGAGGAGGAGGAGGAGGAGGAGGAGGAGGAGGAGGAGGAGGGTAATCGCAATGTACGAGTAGAAGGCCAAAGAACGTCATTTCCCTATCGGCGGAGGTTCATGGCGCGAGTAAATGCATATCTTCGCGATAATTCGCTGGCAAAGAGCCAGAGTTCCTCTCATTCACAAATGCGACTGCTTCTCAAAGGTCCGAAAAAAACATGGAAGACGAGAATACATATCTGAAGCTCATAAACCGTATTCATCCAAGCGGAACGCGGTATCAATGCGACATTCGGCCTTTCCTTATTCTTCCAAAGGGTTACCAGCTGCATACTTTCGTGCAAATTCCACTCTAGACGAGTTCTAGGTCTGAAAATACCTCGACTGTGAGGGAAATGATTTCCGTAATGTCCGAGTCCATGCAGTTCAGTTGGCAGCTTTAGTGTGCAGGCACCAGCTTATTCAAATATTCTTCGGTTGGGAAAAAGAACATAATTTCTCGATTGCCATCAATGGGGAAACAAAACTTCATGGCCTGTCCGAACTAAGTTATCCCCGCTCCCTCTTCATTTAGAATGAGAACATAATCGGATCGATTGCTGTCGCATTATTTGACTGCTTGAAATGAAAACAGCAGCCAACATGGCCATGCATGGCTACTATAGCCTTTGATGGGTGAATATACTGGGTTCTCTAATGTCTTTCTTCGAATACAGGCCAACACGAATAGAAAGACCATGACAAATTGCACTTGACTCCACTCAAAGCGCTTATTCCTGTCGCCGTTAATGCAGTCCATAACAGGGGCAGGCAGTAGCAATGTGGATGACATGCCGAAAGCAAATGATCGTGTATTCATGTTTCCTTATGCTACTTGAAGGCATAAAGTAATAGTACTCCGAATCCAATAATTGAAGGCGGCGGATGGAAAATTCTATCAGTCCTGACTCGATTTCGATGCTCTCGATTCGCTGGACCATTATGAATCGACACAGAAGGGTCTAAGAGCGGGACATGCGCAGATCCGAATACTGCTACCTGAATAGCGGCACCATCGTATTGATGAACGATTAAGCATGCACCAAAAGACGACAGCCCACTCCACTGATCACGTCCTCACCTCAGATTGAAACTCTCCAGACTCTCAACGGCACCTTAGTGGCGAGACACTGAAGAAAACGAGCACCTTGAGGGAGGGCGGGATCAGCTACTGCGCCACTTCACGATCACTCCGTATTTATATTATCCGAGTCAAAGATGAAACAGGGGCATTCTATCGGGATCCGTCCCTCAGGGATATAGTGGAGGCCCAGAGAAATACTCTATCCCGTTATCAGCATTGAAGGCATGCCCTTCAGAGGACTGCGGACGCCTGACGTACGGGCCGACTCACGTTAGGACGCATTTGTGGCAAGACGCAAATGCGTTCCAGCGCATACAAAGAATTGCAAACAGTGGCGTGCCCAAGGGGTGCGGGGGGTTTTGCGGGTGATAACCCCCCCTTGGGGTCAGTTTTACAGGTTCGATTCTCACAAATTTTTTAATACGGCTACAATTACAGGGTAGGTTATCAGTTTTTTCATATGTTAATCCCCCATTAGGGTGGGTAATCAATGTTTCATATGGCAACCCCCACCCAAATCGGATTTCCTGGGCACGCTACTGATTGCAAATGCATCTCTGGCTTCGCTGCCGAATTGCCAATCACGGCGCGCTTATTTATCTGTACTCGGCAGAATGACACTGGACAATCCGAAGCATCGCGTCCTATCAGATGCTTCTCGCTTCTTGGACATCTCACACTGACACAATGGTGATGGTGTATCTCTATTGTGTGACAATCTTCTTCGGCCTATCCTTGGATGATAGCGACGTGACATACCATAAGCATGCGCTTCAGATGGAAGTCTACTTTCATCTCCCGTCTCCCCTGCGACGATTGCGAAGTTATCCTCCATCTTTGACAGGCTGGGGCGAAGAATAAAAATAATTCCGCAAAGAATTATCTTCATTCTTCACCCAGTCATACTTGGCGCGTTCTCATTGGCAGAGTCAGAAATACGGCGACACAATCCACGCCTTTCCTGCTCCCACTATGCTTCGAGATGCAAAATGCATATGCGACAAAAGCAGCGTGCCTCGAGACGCACACAACATTTACGCCTGTGTTGCCCTTGGATGCATTTGCTGCCTCTGCATTTTTCCGCAAATGCGTCCTAGTGTGAATCAGCCTGGCAGGAAACCCCACACCGCATACTACAACCTGTTATGTGTTTAACCCTAATCCCCATGAATTAATTTTACAACTTTAACACATAGAGGAGTCATCCCTTCGTACAACTTTAATCTGACACGCATCAAGAGTTTAAACTGATAATACTGGTAATAATTAATCAGTAATAGAGCGCAATCGCAAAGTTCAGGACCTTGAAGGCGCTCTGTGCGGAAGAGGGTTAAGGCTTTAACACATTGACTGCCACCATTGTTTTTATTCACACGCCACAGAAATTAAAATTTTTCTTGCAAATTAATATCCAATCTTTCATATTTTTTTACTCAGTCACAGAAATTTGAAAAAATATTAAAGCAATTAGTAATATGCAGGACTCCACCATGCAATGTTAGAAATCAGAGATATCTCGCACTAGGCGTCTGACATGGAAATATAGTACGAGATATCTCGTACTTGGCGGTCGATATGTTAACCCCTTTGTCCTGAATTATGTTCTGGGCATGGAAAAAATGCCACTTACTTTTATAGGCTTCAACAAGGCTTAGGCAACATAAAAGCGCTTTTAAAATGGTTTCCTCAAGTAAAATTAAATATGTATTTCAATTATTTAAAGAAATGAATGAAATCATGCTATTTAATTAGCTCAGCTAGTACTCATGTCCCTATTCTACGTCGTATGTTTCTCAATATTTCTGTACTACTTTCCACTATCTAGCTTGCAAAAACAAAAACAAATTGGCTAGGAAAGAAATGTCTGAGGTGAAATAAATATAAACGATGGCACCATTTTTGAAGCGCCACAAGAAATACAGCAGCTTTATATTACTGTGGACAGCTGCCATCTTGACATGTGGTGTCATTCTGAGTCCCTATAAACAAGGACTCAGATTCACATTCCTATGAAGCCCTATAACATATGCGAGAAAAATGCGTGACTCCTGAGTCCTGCCAGGGCTGAAAGGGTTAAGCGAAAGGTATCCCTCGTGATGAATCTATGGAATGAAACACGGGAACATTGGTTGGGGACCAGGAGCACGACTAACGTAATAGATAATGACTGGCGAGTCACGAATGACCAGCGATTCATGAGTGACTAGTGAAAGGATGCAAGCGTTTCCATGAAGAAACTGGAGAAAAGGGGTTACACTTCCATTTTGACGTCGCTTTTACTCTCGTTCTTGGATCAATCTCCCTTGAAACCTTTGTTTGATACCATCCTGCATCGTACCCACTGTCTGCTCGAAAAGATACAACATCCCAGCTCCTCCTCAGCTACCATTTGCAATTACTAGGTCCATCGAGAAAGTGCACGACTGTAAGCAATTGTTAGCCACTTCATTGATCACTTGATCATGTACAAGATGACGTCGAGTTCACTAAATCCTGACCAGGGCTACGAAAAGCTATAATGCTCATTAAACTCCTTCCGGTAAACTTTTTTGTGTTGATGGCAATCATGGTAGGTTGTATTTTAAATTTGCTTTTGTGTCTTGCTTAGGATATACAAGAAAAACCTGAATATATTAATACAATTTCACCGTATATCGAACTTTTGTGTTGGACACTGTCCAACATCAGACCTGAAAGGGTTTCAACTTGAAAGTAATGGGCTTACTACATTGACATGTAAGAGACTAACTTACGAATCCATGGAGAGCCGGTGAGTCAAGACCAGTGGTCACAATCTAGAACGTAGAAAATCTCTAACTTATTCAAGATTTAAGGGGTAGCTCGCAAAAAAATAACTTCACTGATGAAGCACCAGCCTGACAGAAACACCACAGCATCTACAGTTGGATCTTCCACCATACATTAGACTTCACTGCTCGTTTAGTGCCGCTTACTGTCAGGCACTCTGCTTTATATGAAGGCAGTTATCTTAATCCTTTTCTCTCAAGAAAAACATTACTTGTCAAACTTAGAATGATGCACATTCATGCCCTTTTAGCTTTACGAGTGCACCACACGTACATATTATTGTCATCTCTTCGAGAAAAGCTCGAAATGGTTACCTATAAAAAAAAAGAATACGAGGGCGATTCACATGAAAGCGAGAAAATTATAATGTTCACAATGCAAATGAGTTTTGCCTCTAACAGTGGAATTGATATGTTGCTTTGGTTCAGTTGACACCTCTCTGAATGCTCGCATTTATTTTTCAGCAGGTGCACGAGGTCATACAGTGAAATAACCCTTTCGTGCATTAATTTTTAAAGCAAAATAAAAAATATGCCCTTCATGGTTTAAAGTTTAAGGAGGTACTCTGTCGTGGTAGTCGAATGTTCTACTGCTAGAAAGAGACACTGAACAGATTATGTGCCCTTGAGTTGACTGCACGCACCTAAAGTTTCGAGGTATGAGTACCATAGCTGAAAACTCATAATTATCGTCAAAAATTTTGTCGTCCACTACAGTGGATACCATGCACGAAAGGGTTAAAAATGGTGGCACACCTGGAATCTTGCACCAAAGAAGATATATGGTCAGATTTTTCAACACCGAGGGAGCCAAGCAAGTTGAGATACATCCGAAGATAAAGAATGCGTATGGTGATAAGTCCAGGCCCGTGGGTATGAATGGGTTCAGAAGTTAAGAAACGGCATCAGCGATCCCCAGGATGCAGCTCGGCCTGAACACGCGAACTTCGTGTTCACGCCAGGGACGATGCGCGGTTGAGGAGCTTATTCAAGTCATCCATGGTGTATCTCGGCTGGTGTTAAAAAATCTGACCACAGCTCGCATCGCTTCCTTGGTGCAAGTTTCCAGATGCGTCACCATTTTGAATTCACTGAGTGACCTCTAGCACCTTTTGAAAAATAAATGTG